TTTTTTCTGGTCACGTAAGATTTGTTAAATAAAAGGGAACTCTAGCTACAGTGTGTTAATGTTATGTTATAAAACAAATGGTAAACACCACAGCGTACACTATTGAGTTATGGATGCACGCGGGAGGTTGCTAAGCACGAAAGAAGCGTAAGAGTCGCTCGAGGCGATAGCCGAGAGCGACTCTAGCTTCTTGAGTGCTTAGCAAACCTCCCAAGTGCATCCATAACTCAATAGTGTACGCTGTGGTGTTTACCATTTGTTTTATAACATAACATTAACACACTGTAGCTAGAGTTCCCTTTTATTTAACAAATCTTACTTGACCAGAAAAAAACAAGCGCGCGCGGAAAAATAGTCTTTGCATTTGCTCATGTCAGCAGCGTACACCCATGGGCAAATGGGGGACGCTAAATTGACCAATCAGAGCGCGCGCTTTACTTTGGTTATGTTATAAATAAGGATAATGCAGGAGGCAATAACTGTTAACCAACCTCAACTCCCCATGTAGGATACAACATATCTATGTACTACATCAAGACATAATGTCATCACGTCAGAAACATTAACGTTGCCTTCTTTTAACGGGTTTCTTTAAACTATAGTGTATTTAAATCCTTCATCTATCACTGTTCTCTTTATTTTTGTTCTCCAAAAATTTGTAAAAAATTTATGTTTATACATTTTAATGGAGTTTCCTTTCTTGTCTTTCTCGGGTTTTTCCGCCACAATCTGTTATGCATCGATCTATACGACCGTCAATATTTTTAAAGATTAGCAACCCTGACGTTCTTTCAGACCTTTTCTTCTGAGCCCTCTACTTCTGAGCCTCACTTTGACAGTCTCCATACTAAAAGATAAATCTCATTAAACCTACTAAAAAAAAAGAAAAATTTACAGTTCCGGTTCAAAGTTCTCACACCACCAATGCAAGGCTCAAACTCCCCACAAGTAAATGGCCAAGGGTTACCCGTGGGATGATGTCGAAGCTTCAAACTGATCTGTGCATTATAACTCCGTAGTAATAAAATGAAATCAATCCTTTGTTCATGAATTGAATAATCACATTTATTTTTAATACATTATTCTTTCTTCATTTATTGTTATAGTGTTCCTGCTTACGGTCTAACAGATACAAATTTTAATGAAATTAAAAGTGTTTGTGTCTCAAGGAGTTGCTCGTTCCAATTGACCTTATTTAGTCTTTACATGCACATCAGCTTGTATTGGTTATATACTTACTACAAGCTAGTAATGCCGAGGCAACAGGTTGAATGTCATATATTAGCTAGAGAAATTAGATGGCGCATTGATCGAAATTCTTTATTCATGAATAGTAATAAGTACCACAAGAAATATGCCCAGGGTCATTCGTCTGGACTTACAATTTCATATAACTAACTGCTATTAAAAAAAAAAAAACTAATGACAAACTATTTAGAAAAGTATGAATAACAATTCAAGATGCAATTGAAAAAGGCAACTGTTCACAAAACAGCGTTTATGAAGTTCAGTACTGACACGTGGCTGGATATTAGGGTGTCCCCTTTTCCTTATGCTCCTTGTTCTCTGGGGTGGAAGCAGTTCATGAAAGGGATGAGTACTATCAGTAATTATCTTATCCCAAGGTAGCCTATCTTTGATTTTAATCTCATCACTTATGAGTTTCCACTAGCTGTTCCATTGCCTCGCACCAATTTCCTGAAAAATAGCTTTAGCTATAGCGGTGCGGTTATCTGGAATAGCTTGTCCCCTGAATTGCGGCAAGCAAAATCACTTCAATCCTTCCGAAATGGTTGTCGCATTTTCTTCCTCTGAATCGACAAAACACACACGGCATCTATGTAAAGCAGAATTTCTTTATTTTTTTCTATTTTACTTTTAAATTTTAGATCATGTATATATAGATTAAAATAGATTGTAACTGTAATAATAGATTGTAATAATATTATTATTTTATCTGATAGATTTACCGTGTCTAAATAAAAATAAAGTTCAAGTTCAAGTTCAAGTTCAAGTTCAAGTACATATTTGCCGGTATAACCATAATGTACAGCCCGCTTGCAGAAACCTATCAATTTGGGAGAGATGCTTACAATAGTGGGCGTAAGCCCACACCTCAATCGCGTGTATAGGTGAAAAATGACATTATTGGCTGTTAAACAGCAGTGTAAGCCCTTGCAGTGAGCAGCCGTAGTGTTAATTGCACGGTAAAATTATCTTAAATTACGATTCTAAAGAGGGCCGGTCAAGCACTATGTCTTTACATGCATTGCTGCATTCTGCGTTGCCTGGCAGTGCCTTGGGACAGACATGAACTCGTCAAGATATACTGCGAATGATAACATGAGAGGGCTGGGATAGAGTGTGGTTGTTTTCCGTGGTTGTTTGAAAAACTAAGATATTCAAATGAAAGATCAACTAAATTTGAGAGTCTTAAGCAAGAATAGAAGTATTTAGAGGAGGAAAATGGCTAAATGACAGCTCTTCAAATATCCCCTGAAATAGAGTTTGTATGGATTGGGTAGAGAGACAAAAAAATTTTAAGGGTTTGTCTGGAATTTTTGCAACTTTTGCAAGGCTCCGATCTGGACGCTTTTCCGCTGAAAACTCTCAAACTTGACTGGGTAGCTTTTCATTCAGTAACATTTCAGTTGACATGTTTAGATTTTCAATGTAATCAATATAAGAAACTCGTCCTGGTCCTCTCGCGTTTCTGCAATGGGCTATAGCACGCCTGTAGTTAAGGGAAGAGGGTCACGTATAGATGAAGCTGTGTTCAAAAGTTTGGTCCGTTGTGAAGCTACCTTCCAAACAAATCGCGAGCAGCATTATGGGAAAGTATTCGTGCGAAGCACTGTTTGTGCTAGAGCGCATAACAACTTCCAGCCAAGATATCAAATCAACCTTGCTGTTGCAAGTTTCATATCTTTTTTTTTGTCATCGTTGACAACGTTTCGTGCGAATCAGGCTAAAATGATCAGGAGATAGTTATTTGTTGGACTCTGCTAACAAACTGTGACGAATAAACCTCTAATTAAATTCTTGACTGATCTTCTCACTTCCCTTATTTTCCAACAATAAAGAAATGGATTCAAAGACGAATTTAACTGCACAAAAGATATTGTTAACTCTAAAAGAAAGGCGATGATTGGCGTATACTCCTCACTGGTAACATATATGGTCGTCATTATGACAAACGGTAGATAACAAACCAGTAAGGCTGCTTGGATCCACACTGCACTGGAAACTGTTTTTTTATATCGTGCAATGTTCAGCAGACGGCTTCCACGGTTTGATAGTTCTTTGGGAGCATATTCCTGTATCTGTATTTGGTGATGAAGAAGGAAACGGTAAATTTGCACGTAACAGAACGTTGATGTTGTTATGCTCAATAACAATGCTGTACAAGCAAAATACATGGAAGCAGCTTCGTTATAATAATAAAATATTGCATTTGAAGTGCTTGTGAACCAGGCTGCAATTACAAAGATCCATACTCGCTTTAAGGTTATGATATGCCTATATCTCAAGCCCAGTAAGAGGGCAAAAAGTCTATCAACACTTATTGCAGTCGATGTTTGCACGGATACACCGCAAAATATTATAGAGAGCATGTAAGACATATCTCCAATGTAGTAACATGGGACAGAATTATCTGGTGACATAAAATAACTTATGTAAACGGGTTGCAAGATGAGGCCCACACAAACATCTGTGCTAGCGAGGCAAATGAATAAAAGTTTTGATGATGAATGAAGCGAAGATACTCTTTGGAGCGCAATGATAATCAGGACATTTCCTGGAAAGGCTGTGGCGGATATAAATAAGTTTATTGGCAGTAGTATATATCGATGCTCAATTGTCAGATATGAGGAGCATAGCATTTCATGAAATGTGGAATTGTTTCCAGCCCCTGAAATGTTCGCCTTCATTTCACCTTCCTCAGAATCGAATGTGCTGACTTTTTTTTGAAACTAAAATCCTCTCAACTCTTCTGTATATAATTTCGTTTCCCATGCATAAGAGGCCTATTAGCTTTTTTGCAGACGTTCTCATTCCTCATTAACCTTCAGTAAAGGGTCGCACAATGTACCCTACAACGTAAAAATATCATAGTATTAAACCATCATTAGTAGAAATGACAATACTAATTATACTAAGAGGAGGCATGAAACAAATAACATTTTAAACTTACAAACATATTTCGACATCACGAATGTCATTCTTTGTTGTACATTCTCGCGCTACAATTCGCATTTCACACTGCAAGTAAGTTATTAAATTACGACCTAAGATTACGCTATTCATATCGGTGAATTATTTGACTATTTGTTTTGGTTTTTCCCGCGTTACCTCTAAATATTATTGTTACCCTTCTGTGCTTCCGTTATATATTTAATAGTTCACGAATCTGCCCTACCCATGTATAAAATACTTCTCTATTCTACTTTTTTTTTGTGGATTAGAACCAAATTTCCTTGTCGAAAACCCATGCTAGATCAGTCAGCAAACATGTGGTAAACTTAGTTGCCTTTTCTTCTACATAATCAAAAGTATAAAGTTATTTAAGTTAGAAAAACATTTTAAACAAATGACAGAGGAAATAAAAAGATTACGGTAATGAAGCGTTTCAGGTTTCATCTCCAAATAAAGCCAGACTTGAATTATCGCATATTTCAGCTTTTGCACCCTTTGGTGAGTTAAAAAATGCTAGATCGGACAATTGGCTCGCAAAATTGACTTATCAGAACATATTAAAATCGCTGGATGTTCTAATTTTTCCATTATAATTTGAGTAAATAACTTGCGGTAACAAACCTCACGCTCACTGAGACAATGAAGGTTTTGTCGCGATAAGAAAACTCAATTCGCGATTACATTTTTACTTACACATAATTCCTGTTCGCTGTCACGATTCTTGAGAACGACCTTGATCAAAATACCGTGAATCATCAGATCTTATATTGGTGCCAGAAAAGAAGCTTTCAACAGCTAGCTATCACCATAATATCACACTATGGAAACAGCTGCCGAATCGCTCCTAATCTACATAATAGGACACAGTTTTCAGTTTGCAGCTTTCGACAGAAAGGAGATTTCTTTTTTTAAAGACACTAAAACAGACTCAATGAAAAACTCCGTTTCCTACGCTAAGTGAACCGACACAATTATTACTTTATTGTTGTCGTTACTATTAAATTTCTTGAATCGCAAATGAACATCGTTTATAAGATAACGTGGACGTTTCCATTCAAATTTACCGATTCTGTTCACAATTCGTGAAGCATTAATTGCAAAATGCTTGATTTCCACGACAATGCGAAAGACAAACCAAACTGCACGTCAGCGGTAACTTCATGTCAATAATAATTCATTTTAATTTCGATTTTTTCGTAAATTGCACTTGCAAATATTGGCAGGAAATGGCTGACGAGACAACCAATCTACGCTGTCAGGTTTAGTGATGGATTCTCGGAACTTACTGTCTCTTAACTGTCACTCGCGCCCGACACCCTTTTTCACCATTTTGCTATGTTTTGATATGTTTTTGTCTCGATGGGGAGCTATTTAATTATCTTTCGATCGTGTTGGAAACCAATTTCAAATGAAAAGCTCAGAGGTGTTTATTTGGGGACTTGACAAGATTTGAATTGGATTTTTTTTCCAAAGAAGCGAACATGCAATGCACACTGAAAAGATGTGCAAGTAATGTGAAATAATAATTTTTTTCGCCAATCCTTAAAATATTTAATTTCATAATTAAAATAGTAAAATTGAGAAATAAAGACATCAATGTAAATGAACGATTAATTGATTTAGGCGTGTATCTGCTAGTTTTTCATAGATTTCATTAATTATTAATGAAGCTTTCTAGCTGCAAAAACGTGTTCTTAATCATTAGTGATTTAGTGAAAAATAAAACACTTTGCGTCCATTTCTTGCTGTGACAGTTGCTCTTGCAATCAGCACCAGAAACATGACTTCGATGAAGATCACGTCTGCATAATGAAATATTACAGTTTTTTGTTTTCAGCTTGCGATCGTTTTAGTTTCAAACAGAGATCTAGCTTTTAAATCTGATCCACGAATAGCGAAACTAATCGAAATCTTTCCTTTTTTATGTTGTTCAATACTGAGTCATCTCTAATCCCAGAACCTACATTGGCAATACTGATTCTTGTCATGACATTTCAGTGAAAAATCATTCACTTTTACTACCTATATGTCATTACTTTTATTACTTTAAAAGCTTGAAAATCCCCTTCACTAGAGTAAATTAACACTAAAGAGAAGGCGTTCAAAGCCTTAAAGTTTCACGAAGGTGAATTCACAGTCACAATGACATTAAGACCATTATTAAATCGTGGACGTCCTTAGTAAACATGAACAATGCTTGTTTCTGTCGCAGATCAATTGCGTGCCTGTCAGACAATTACTTTTTAGTGTTACCCCATCGAAGCGCTCACAGCACGAAATATGTCTCACGCGAGGTAGGAATGCTTATTTCTAAATTTTCTAACTCATTGCATTTTTCTTTTCCTTCATTGGAAAGGTTTGAAAATTATCTTTATCAATCAGAAGGTATTTATCATTGGACAAAATTTCAGTCTTTTTCTTTTCTTGTGAGACCCTTCTTCTCTACTCATTCGTAACTCAGGATCTATAAAACACAAACAGGGATATTCCTACTGGAAATCGCCGTAGTCGCTTTTGTGACCCGGGTTTGATGCTGGGATTAGGGGCGTGTATGGACTCGAATTCAACAAAGATAATTCGGTCTAGAAAGGATGATGATAAAGTAAATTGGCCACCGTAAAGTGATACTAGAGCTAACGTTTCGAGCTTTAGTCCTTCGTCAGAGCGAATGTAGAGAGTTACCAATAGTCAACTCGCCAGCTTTAGAAACTTTTTACTGTGGCAAATTTACATTACAAATTCGGCTAATGACCAAATTATCTCGTAATATCCCCTACCGACGCAGCGACGCAGTTTCTGTGGAAACTTATCCCCTTCATTAGTTTTTCCGAATTCATATCTGCCCTTCCACTAACAATGTCGCTATTCATTTTGTCTTGTCGTTACTTCTGGGGGCTGAAGGATCGTGACTCGAGGAGAATTGTGTGTGTGCACGGGACACATTTCGATCCGTAAAAACTTAAAACAACGACTGTCCATTTTGTCTATTGCTGAAAACCATCAGGTATTCCTTTTCATGTTAGTTCAAGTAAGTAAATGGTAAGATAAGGCACTGGGTAGAACCTTGATCAGAAATGTTAAAAATGATTGAGTAGATAAGTCTGTCTCACCTTTCTTTCGGAGCATCAGCATATCTTTTCTCCTCAACTTGATTATTTTTTTCTTTAGATAAAGACATGCATTACGAGATCTCCCAATAGCAAAGAAGTCTTACTTCTGCGGTTAATTATGTGAAACTACGTGAGCAGCTGTTAAAATACTGGACACCTCCCTTTATTAAATTTTCAGAACTATTTTACCAATAAACAACACAAAATCATGATTGGAGTACATTTGGTCCTTTTAATACTAATCGCTATGATAATTATCATTTTTGTGATAAACTGATGGGTCGCCAGCTTTGTTTTATAATCGTATCCGGTTTTATTCCGACAGAAATTAACTCTGACCTAGAACACAATCACGGTCTTGAAAACATTATGACTTTGTTTTTATAGTCTCTTATTCGCTCCACGTTGAATCTCTCGCTGTTCCTTCCTCTCAAATGCTTTGCAGACAAGTATTTGCTCAGTCAAATTTGACATGAAAGCTACTTACAAGCAAATGATGTTATATGTTTGTTAAATTGATAGTTAATTATCTTCCCGGCATCGACTCAAAGTTTCTTTGCCTTATCATGATTTTTTTCTGTGGAGGATTCATTGCATCCATGTGACTAATCTCCAAATGCCGCTAAATGAAAAGAAACCGACGAAGTTTAAAAGCAAAGGAATTGAAGAACACACCAACAGCTAAATATTACCTTAGTGTTTCCTTCAGAATTACTGATCAAAGTTATAGCAGTAATAAGGGAAACTACCTTATTTATTTTTCATTACATGGAAAATCTTTTCATTTTCAAGCATTATTACGTGCGCACAATTGACCTTCACGTTTTCTCGTAAGGAAGCGATTTCGAAAGGATAAACCCAACTAAGTGTAAAATACATTACTCCACAAAGTCTAGGAGCAGAGGAATTGTTTGAGTAAGTTTGTCGCTGCTCTTCTAACTTCCCTAATTTTCCAGCAGTACAACAATGGATTCAGAGAAGAGTTCAACTGAACAAGAGTTGCTGCTAACTCCGTGGCAAAGAGAAGAATAGGCGAGTATATGTCAGAGAGGTAAACTATTGATGTAATGACAACATATGGTAGATAACATGATACCATAACTGCCGATACCCAGAGTGCACTGGACACCGTCTTTCTGTATCGAGCAATTTTGATTGGAATTTCTCTCCTGTTGGGCTGCTGGAAATATAGTTGTTGGTGTACTTGAGTTTGGTGATTGCGAAGGACGCGGTGGATTTTTACGTAACTAAACACTGACGTTGTCAAACACAGCAACCCAGCTCCAACGGTGGTATATGCAAAGGCATCATTGTACAGCATTGAGACTGCATTACCAATGTTAGCAAGCCAAGAAGCAACCATAAAGGTCTGGATCCGCTTTTTTGTTACATAATGCCTGTATCTTACCCCAAGCATCAGTGCAAAACATCTGTCCACGCTTATTGCCGTGGCTGTGAACATAGATACTCCGCAGAGCATGAGGCCTACTCCTGAGTAGATGTGGCCAATATAACTACAGAGTTTGGACACCTCTGGATACAAGAAATAAACAATCGACAAAGGTTGTACTATCACACCAACAAAGAGATCGGTGAAAGCTAAAGAACTGAATAAAAGTTTTGATGGCGGATGAATAGAGGTTACCCTTTGAAGAACAACGATTATGAAGAGGTTTCCTGAAAAAGATGTGACGGCTATGAGAAGATTCAGGGATAACAAAATATAATGTGGTACTCCTTTCAGGTCATTGGCGCAGAAAAAGAATGATTCAGATGGTAAATCCCTGGTTGCATTCGCCATTTATACCAGAATTCCAGTCTCTTGTTCTTTACTATCGCTTGTTTCTCATGGCCATCAATAAAATGATTACGTACCAAAAACAACGTCACAAAGTATTAACGAAGAGTTGATAAGATCTAGTTTTCAACCATCCCTTAATTAAATGACAGCCTCATTAGTTTCCTGGTGATGTTTGCTTGAATCATATTGAGCGTCAGTTTAAGAACCCTAAAAACGCAATTAAAATTTCAATTACACCTTTCGTATCTCTTCGAAAAAAAAAAAAGAGTGCAGGTTTTTTCTGGGTTAGAATGCTTTTTAAAATCAATTGCGAATCCGGCTGATTTAGGATTATCTACTTTTCAATTGGTTTTTCATTCATGGAGTGATAGTAAGTTGAAAAATAAATGCAAATAAACATGGACTGAGATTAATTATTTTTGTTATTTTTAACATCTATGTTATAAATCCATATATATGACTGATACTGATCATTTTCAACGCCTAGTTCCTTCCGCTTTTGTTTTTGTTTTCCTTCATTATTTTTAAGAAGCACACAAGAGGCACAAAAAACTACGTTAGCTTGAGTAGTCAAGGTGAAAATAAATAAAGGTGGTAAGTTTCTCTGACGAAGGGCTAACGCTCGAAACGTCAGCTTTGAAACTCTTCACAGTGGCCAGTTTGCATTATCAACTAATTTGATCAAACCAAAATTAACCCGAATATAAGTTTTCTTTCCAACTTATCACAATCGCTAACCCCGACCAAAGTGCCACGAATACAACGAATATAAAATGTCGAAGTCCATATTTAGATTCATGAGCGATTTCACTACCTACTCAATAGGGCTCACCATTTCTATTGTTGCGTTAGCAGTAAGAAGTTGTTTTCCTTAATTGCTTTGAAACCCAATACCATACACACAATGTTCTAGATGGAAAAAAAAACCCGTGAGAGAATAGGATCGATGACTCTATTCTTCGTAAATGCAAATGATTCACGCAAACTTAGCTTCACTTGCAGCTGTCTCAATAGGAGAGTGAAGTCCAAGTCGCCTCTCGTAATCAGATGATGGACATTTAATGTACCTCGGCCCTTCTGGTGATATCTTACGGCGAATCAAGGAATGGTTTTATTTCTCGGACGTAGAGCCGAGTCAGGTCACTGCCGTAACGCGATGAAAAGGGGGCCGTCGGTCGTGGTTGGAGGTGCGGGGGGATTGGTGATAAATGTTGTAATATCTTGTAGATATCTCACAATCTTTCTACGAATGGCCTGTGATATGACCTACGAGTGAAAAAAGCTTTTAAAGAAAGGAAGCAAGGAAGCGGTGATAACAATCAAAGAAGTAATATAGAAACGTTCGTTAACCGCGTCACCATCTTTCAATGGACCATGCATACATGGCGTTTATCCGAAGGCTGCGCTTGTTCGAGCAAATAAAATAGACTATTTGAAAATATTGAAAGAAATATTCTTCCTGTAACCTGTTAAAATTGCCCTAGAATTCCCTTGCCATCTGTGAAGTGTGATGCTGGCATGTCCTGCATGTTAAAAGAATTGAACTTGAGCTATTCGGTAAGTTAAATAGTTTAAAGAATAGATATATTCCAAAACCTATCAACATGTGTTAATAAATTTCCAGATGTCATTTTATTTTCCTCTAGATAAGGCCATTACTCCTTCGACAAATTTCACGCATCTTAGCCCATAAGAACTAAAGTCGAATAGCAATATATTCATATCAGAAGATACCAACTATATATACGTTATCTTGGTGCTTGCTACAGAACTACCTATCTACTTCTAATTATTGTGGTAATTTGTGCACTTTACCAAAAGTCAGACTTTGCAGACGCATTCCAATCGATTATTCCTATTTTTTTTTTAAATACTCCTCCTTCTCTAAGCATTATTATATTTGCGCAATTTATTCTCGCATTCTTTGTTAGGAAGCGATTTGAAAAGGATAAACCCAACCAAGATTAAAGTACATTATTCGATAAACTCTAGCAGCAGAGGAATTGCTTGAATAATTTTGTCACCTTACGTTGAACTTCCCTAATTTTCCAGCAGTACAACAATGGATTCAGAGAAGAGTTCAACTCAACAAGAGTTACTGCGAACTCCGTTGCTAAGACAAGAATCGGCGAGTTTATGCCAATGAAGTAGGCTATGAATATATTTACGACGAATGGAAGGTAACATGCAACTAGTACTGCCGATATCCAGAGTGCACTGTACACCGTCTTTGTATCGGGTAATTGGGTTGATGGACATATAGCCGGTGTTGTACTCGAGTTTGGTGATTGCGAGGTACGCGGTAGATTTTTCTGTAACTAAACACTAACGTTGATATGCAGAGTAACACAGCTACTATGGTGGTATTTGCAAAGCCATCACTGTTGTATAGATACAGGACTGCATTACCACTGCTAGCAAGCCAAGAAATAAATACAAAGACCCAGATCCGCTTCTTTGTGATATAATACCTGTATCTTACCCCAAGTTTCAGTGCGAAAAATCTGTCCAAGCTGATTGCAGTGGACGTGAACATAGATACTCCACAAAGCGTTAGGGCTAAAGTTGAGTAGGTGTATCCGGTATAAACACAAAAATCGGAGACCACTGGGTACGTGAAATAAACAATCGTCAAAGGCTGTAGTATGATGCCGACGCAAAGAACAGTGAAAGCTAAACAACTGAATAAAAGTTTTGACGGTGCGTGAATCGAGGATACCCTTCGAAGGGCAACGATTATCAGGACGTTTCCTGAAAAAGATGTAATGGCTATAAGAATATTTAAGCAAGACAAGATATAGATTAATTGTCCTTTGAGAACATTGGAGCAAGCAGACAATGATCTCAATGGTAACTCCCCAGTTGCACTCGTCATTAATAACAGGATTTCGGTCTCTTGTTCTTTGATATCACCTACTTTCCAAGTCCACCTATAAAGTGGTAAGTTTAGAAAAAACGTCAAAAAGTATTAACGACAGGTTGATTAAATCAATTTTTAACCCATCCGTAAAGTAATGGACAAATGGGTTTGTCCGCTGGTGATGTTTTCTTGAGTCGCATTAGGCGTCACTTTGGGAAAGCTAAAACGCACGTAGAGAATTCAAATACACCTTTCGTATCTCTTCAACCGAAAAAAAAAAAGTGTGAAGTATATTTTTGCCGAAAGTTTCTTTTAAAAATCACCTGCGAATTTAACTGATTCAGTAGTAGTTATCAAGTTGTCAGTCATCAAATAGCAATTATAAGTTAAAATGCATGCAAATGAAGGTAGACGGAGATTGATGTATTCTTATTCTTGACATCCAAGCAGTAGATCGATATAGGAAAATCCACTTATGCATTAAATGACCAATATCAGTCTCTTTTCATTGCCTAGTTCATTCCAATTTAATTTTTTAACCGAGGTGTATGGCCAGAAGTGCAATCTCATTCTCAAAAGATCAATTGGGAACTTGATTACTCAGGTTCAAAGAAACTATTAAATAAGTTCGCTTTCAAGAGATAACAATCACTAACCCCTTGACAAAAACGCCATAAAATTAAGATGCTGAAAACCGTCTATGAGTCATAAACAATTTCACTTCCTACTCAATAAAGCTCACCTTTTTAATTTATCCGTTAGCAG